GCACCAATAGGGTGAAAGTTAACGAAGTAGGGGTTGTTTGTGGATGGCCGCTTTTCCAAGAAAACCGAAAATGGTTTTCCTACTTATCTGCCCAGAGATGTAACTGAGGCGCCGTACGGGCACCGTCCTGCCGTCGCCGGGTGGTTATCGGGTTTTCGAGCTATACTTTATTGCGTCGATTTTAAACAACATTTTCCATTAACGAAAATCCGCGACCAATCAGAGTGCAAGTATAGCGAGCAATTAGAGAAGTCACAACTGCCTCATGCGTTGCCCAGCACGTATGCCACGCTCGCGACAAGAGCAAAGGACTGAAACAGAAGTTGCACGTAAATTGATTAAATATGAGACAAAACGAACTAGAATAAATGAAACATGAAAGTAGTCGTTAGTTACGTTCACTGAATAAGTGTAACGTACGAATAACTAACAATTTTAAACATTACGTATCATGGGTATAAAATTATGAAAAATAAGAGAGGAATTCGTATGGAACTTACTCCTTTGTCGACAAATGCACCTGTTCCTAGACGAGCGTCAGCGGATCAATGGAACGGCCTTCGGCACTTGAAGATCCATTTCACTATTATCTACTAAAACACTAGCGATAGGATGGTCTCAAGCAAAGTTTCAACCACTAGAGAACAGACCAGTGCAGTGCTTTAAATGCTGGTCATATGGCCACGTTAGAAACACATGTACCTCAAACGTTAATAGAGACGGCTGGTGTTATAAATGTGGTGGAGAGGGACACCCATCCAACATCTGTGTCAATGATAACTCCATCTGTAAATTATGCCAAGAAAACGACTATAGCTACATATATATACACTCAAGGCTATAACCGTAAAAAATAGATACAACGAGAGTGTCGCTCGTTAAAAAAGACACGACGAGGGTATCACTCGTTCAACAAAGATACAAAAACACGAAAAGAGCCTTTGGCCAAGAAGTGCGTAAAGCCGTTTTGCCGTCAAAGAAGACGACCGGGGCTGCCGCTCGAAACACAGGCACTACGAGAGTATCACTCGTATATCAAAGATACAGACTCGGTCCGTTACGGACCACGATCGGAGGTTTGTCCTCCTCTTCTTATTAATTAATTAACCCGACCTCTTGGTCGATTCTTGTCAGTTTTTAACTCTGTAGACCTGGAGGGAAAAGATCGCTGTCAACGTCATCATCGTCGTCGTTGTCATTGTCGTCGTCAGTCAGTTGAAACAGGCCCTTGGGACAAGTCGAGAGGACGAGGGTGACGAAGACGAGGAGGATGATAGAAGCTCGAAGGGAGCACCTGGACGAGCATCGAGAGTCGAACCGGACCTGCGGAACGTGAGAGACACGCAGAGAGGGAAACGTATCGTCGTCGTCGGAGATCTCTCCTGAACGGTAAGGGGAGAGATCGAGGTATCCTGGTGGTCGTCGATCGTTGTTGTCGTTGTCGTCGACCGATCGAGAAGACGAATGAATAAATAAAATAAATAAATTGAAAGAGAGACCGCGGGTCCCGTAGTGGCGACGGAAACCGTCCTGTCCTGTTCACCCGAGCGCGAGCGAGGGTCTGCCTCCTTCTCCTGACTCTTGTCAATGACTCGTTCGATCGTGTCTGAAATTCTTAATCCATTTATACACACACATACACACGTGCACGCATTGATCGTCGAGCGTGGCGCCGACTGGTGAGGTTCAACGGGATTCGTGACGGAACGAGGTAGTCGTCGTTGTAGCTGACGAGGGATCGAGGTCGGACAATCAGGATTCGATCGGAGTCTGGTCGGTCGGTACAGATACACAGGAGGGGGGGAAAGAAACAGTCGGCTGAAAGTGCCTGTTGGCTGTTTTACATACGAATATCTTTATTGACAATATTCTGTACAGTACTTGTATTCTTAAAAACGCGCGCGCGAGTCCGGTTGATCTGGGGAAATCCAGCACGTTGAGAGAGAGAAAGAGGCGTCTCGGTCGATTCCTGGACGAAAGAGTGCCTGGAGACCGTGTCGGAGAATCTAGATGGGACGATAAAACTCGATAAACGATAGCGATCGGATCGTAGTTAGATTCGAAAAGTGGCTTTACCTCGAGAGAGAACGGTCGTCTTGGGAGGTGCGCGTTCGCTCGATCGAACGACTGGAAGCGGTCCTGTTCATGGTAGTTCTCCGGGATCGCCCTGCACAGAACAGCAATAGTAGTAGTAGCAATAATAACAATAATAATAATAATTATCGTGGCGGGTCGAGAGGTTCCTGAACCGAGCACTTGAACTTACGTCGACACGGAGAGGGCAGTTCCGGGAGACGAGTCTTTTGGAAAAGTCGAAGCGAGAAACGGTCGCGAAAAGGGCTCCTGGTGGTGGTCCCTAGACGTCTTCTCCGTGAATCTGGACAGAATAATAATAGCGATAACAACGACGATAACGTTGACACAGATCTAGGTAGTTCGCCGATTGAAAAGGGAGAGGAAACGGTGTACCTGACCGATGTCGTTGGACGTAGACGCGTTCACCTCGCCCAGAGGATCGTGGACGTTCGCCGATCGGTCGGGCAGGCTCCTGACTGACCTTACCCCGAGACAGAGAGAGTCGCTTCGCGAAGCGGATCTTCGTTTGACCGAGGGCCGGGGAATCTTGAGAATCGGAATCGGTGTCTGGACCGTGAACGACCCGCGTCCTCCTCCGCTGGGACGCGAACGGTCCTGCTCGGAGTCGCTCGACTTTCCGTTCGTCGACCTGTACTGGGGACGGAAACGACACTGACAGCAGCGAGAACGATAGTAACAATAATATTAAAAGACAAAACTAGACTTATCGTTGTCGCCGTGGCCGTTGCTCGTCCTTTCCCTTTCCTTTCCTCTTCTTCTCTTCCTTCTTCTACTTCTCCGACTTCTACTTCTTCCTCTTCCTCGTCCTCCTCCTCCTCTTGGGAACGGTGACGACGGTGACGATGGCGGATCGATTGAAGTTCGTACAGATAAACCTGCACAGGTCCAAGGCGGCGATGAGCGCGTTGTCGAACCTGATGGCGAAAGAACGATTAGACGTGGCTCTGATACAGGAACCGTGGACGGTTTACGACAGGATAAAGGGTCTGAGCACGGCGGGAACGGTTCTCGTCAGACGGGTCGACGGTCGACCGAGAGCGTGTATACTGCACACGAGTCGTATAAGACCGGTGCTGCTTACGCAGTTCAGCGGGCAGGACGTTACCGCTGTTCTCATGGAGAAGAGAGCCGAGTCGTCGTCGTCGTCCAGACTGTCGAAGCTGGTGATAGTGTCGCTGTACATGCCGCACGATCAGAGAGAGCCGGTCCCGGTGATCCTGGACTCCTTGATGAACTGGAGCCTGCAACACGGAGCGAGCGTGCTCATAGGCGCCGATGCGAACGCGTGCCACGTTCTGTGGGGTAGCACGGTGACGAACGAGAGAGGGACAAGGTTGCTCGACTTCTTGAACGAGAACGGATTGACGTGGCTGAATCGTGGCTCCGTGCCGACGTTCAGCACCGCGTACAGGGAGGAAACGTTGGACGTGACGATAGTCTCGCTGGGAATCTGTTCGGCGTTCTCCGACTGGAGAGTATTGGACGACACGTCTATGTCGGATCACAGGTACGTCTCGTTCGCGTTGACGGTCGGGGGCATCCCGGCGATGAGGATAGTCAGCGAGAAGAGATCGCTCAACGCGGAACGTTATCTGGACGTTCTCCAGAAAAGGTTGGCAGAGTCTCCGAGAGAGTACGGGACTCCGGCGCAGATCGACGCCTACGTGGAGCACGTGACGGACGCGATAACCGAAGCGGCGAGAGAGGCGATCACGCGCAAGGAGAAAGGGTTCAACGCGGGACTGCCCTGGTGGGGTCCCAAGTTGAAAGCTCTGAACGACAGGTGCAGAAGGTTGACTAAGAACCACGTTTGTGTTGGAAGCCACACCCACGGTGATGGAAGTACCTAAAGAAGAAGTATGTGTTTTGTCGTTTGCATTTCTCGTGTGTGGCAGTCACATTCTCCGTTCGTCTTCACTCCCATTCTGAATAGGTGATAATTGAGGGGCGCGTGTCCCGTTAATATGTACGTTAATATTCTCGTGTCTGACCTGTGCATTTTTAATATTTCTTTTGCTCTTGTCGTGTCTATCTGTTTTATCATTTGTCTGCTTTGTCTGCATGTTGTTGTTTCTGACCATCTCTCTCTTAGTCTCGATAGCGTGAAGCTCCTCAGTTCTGCTTTGAATCTTGCATATGATATAGGTGTCCATGATTCTGTGCCGGTTCTTTTTAGTTCGACAGCCTCCTTGGCCAGTTGGTCTGCTTTTTCGTTTCCTTCTATGCCTCTGTGTCCGGGACACCAGCATAGGACTACGTTTTTGTTTTGCTTCGCTAATTTTGTCAGTCGGTGATAGCATTCCAGTGCCACGATTGATTTGAAGCTCGATTTTTCCATGGTTTTAACCGTTGATTCGCTGTCCGTGAATATTACTATTGATTCATTCTTTGTCTCGTTTTCGATCATTTCTTCGGCGCATCTTGTTATCGCTATTGCTTCTGCCTGATAGACCGTTGTGTGTTTTCCCAGGTATACGTTGTTGCCTTTATTCGGATCGTTTGTTATCCAAGCGCATCCAGTGTCTCCTTCTTCGTTTTTGCTGCCGTCCGTGTACCATTTTATCCAGTTTTCGTATTCTTTTAGTTTTCCTTTTTCCCACTCTTTCCTTCCTGGTATCTGAGTTTTGAATCTCTTCCCAAATCTGAATGTTAGCGATACTTTGTCGGTCGGTGCTTCCATCGTCATGTTTAGATTCGTTTCTGTCTCTGGGACCAGTCTTTCCAGTATGCTGGCGTGTCCGCTGTTCGATGGCTGCCACTTGTTCCAGTCCTTGAGCAATTTTGCTGTTCTTATCGCTGTTTCTTCTATTTTGTGCGATAACGTCGGAGTCGCGAGCATCGCTTCCATTGCTCTCGTTGGTGAATATCTGAATGCGCTTAGTATTCTTTTGAGTCCTGTGTGTTGCAAGCTTTCCAGTCGTTTCTGGTCTTTCTCATTGTTGATTCCCTCCCACCATATCAGTGCACCGAATGTTAGTCTTGGTAGAATTATCGAATTGTATACCCAGTGGCTGGCTGTCGGGGTCAGGCCCCACGTGCTTCCGACCATTCTGTTTATTGTCGCGAGATTGTTTTTCGCTCTGTTCAGTGTTGCTTTTATCTGCGGTTTCCACGATAGGTTGCTGGTAAATGTTATTCCTAAATATTTGACGCTCTCTGCTCGGTTCAATTGTATTCCGTTCAGTTTAATTCCCCTTGTATTCATTCTCCTCTTTCGTCTCGTGACTATCAGTAGTTTTGTCTTGCTCGGATTGACCGACAGCCCGTTTTCTTCGCACCAGTTCTCTACCGTTTTCAGTGCTCTGTTTATTTGTCTTTTTGCTTCTGCCGTGTTTTCATGTGCTACCATTATCGCTATATCGTCTGCGTATCCCCATACTTGCGTTCCTTCTGTTCTCAGCTTTTCTAGTAGCGAGTCAACCGCCAGACTCCAGAGGGTCGGTGATAGAATTCCTCCTTGCGGGCATCCCCTGTTGGCTAAGCCTTCCATTCTCGCATCTCCGTATACGGTTGTAACGGTTCTGTCTGTCAGCATTTCATTTATCCACTTTACTATCGGCGCCTCTACGTTGTGTTCGAGTAGTCCTTTTGTTATGACCTCTTTTTTCGTTTGATTGAATGCTCCCTCTATGTCCATGAAGCATGCGACCGCGTATTTCCTCTCCGTCATTGCTTGTTCAAAGTGCCTTGTTATTCCATGTAATGCTGCTTCTACCGAGTGCCCTATTCTGTATGCGTATTGTCTCGGTGAGAGTGGGTTGTTCGTCAGGACTTCGTCTTTTATGTGTCTGTCTATTTGTTTCTCCATTGTTTTTAGTAGGAACGACGTTAGACTTATCGGTCTGTACGCTTTCGGTGTCGAGTAGTCGGCTTTGCCTGGTTTCGGGATGAACGTGACGTTCGTCTCTCTCCATATAGTGTGGAGAGATCAGGTGTTTTCCTGTCTTTAAATATTTTGGAATCAGCCCATCCGGGCCCGGTGCCTTGTACGGTAGGAACGTGTTTATGGCCCAGCGTATTTTCTCTTCTGTTATAATTTTCGCCGCTAGCCCCCAGTTCGGTCTACCGCCGTGTATGGCCGGTTGCCTGTTTCCAGGGGTTCGCATCGTGCTTTCCTCCTCGTCGTTTCGTGTTTCGTTTTCGTTTGTGTTTGTTGCGATCGTTGCTTCGGGGAAGTGTTCCGTTATGAGAGTTTCCAGTGTTTCCTTGATGTTGTTAGTCATTGTTCCGTCTCGTTTTTTTAGCATTCCCAGTCCGTTTTGGTCTACCTTCTCTAGTATTCTGTTTATTCTCGCTATGTCCTGTGTCTTTTTTAAACCGCTGCAGAAGTTCCTCCACGATTTCTTTTTCGCCGCTCTTATTTCTCTGTCCAGTTTCAGTGTCGCTCTCCTTGCTCTTCGCTTGTCTCTGTCGTTGCCTGTTCTGCGTGCTTTCTTTTCTAATCTGTTGCTTTTCTCGTTGAGCGTTTCTAGTGTTTGGCTCCACCAGGGAGCTTTTGTGTTGAACTCTTTTCTTTTACTTGTGATCGCCTCGCTCGCGGATTCTTTGATTGCTTCTGTAACGTGTTTTAAATATTCGTCGATTTCTTCGGGTGTGCCGTATCTTCTGGGGGGTTCTCTTAGTCTCTCCTCCAGTTTTCCTAAGTATTTCTCAGCGTCAAGCGATTTCTTGTTCTCGATTATTCTCATTGTCGGGATTCCTCTGGTTCTTATTTCGAATGTGATGTATCTGTGGTCTGAGAGCGACGTGTCTTTGAGAATTTTCCATTTACTTGTTAATGGTCTTAGTTCTGTCGTTGTTATCATTATGTCTAAGGTTTCTTCTCTGTTGCTCGTGCAGAACGTAGGTTCTGTGCCTTCGTTTAGCCATGTCAGTCCGTTGTTATTCATATAGTCCAGTAGCTTTGTTCCTCTTTCGTTCGTTCTCGTGCTTCCCCATAGTGTGTGACACGCGTTAGCGTCTGCTCCTATTATTATGTTTATTCCTTGGTGCGTGCACCAGTCGATCAGCGAGTCCATTGTTGTGGTTATCGGATCTCTCTCGTTGTGCGGCATGTACATCGATACTATTACTATCTTTGTGGTTCTTGCCGTCCCTCTGTCGTTTTCTAGTAGCGTTGTAGTGATATCTTTGTCACTGAACTGTGGTAGAATAATCGGTTTGATCTTGTCTGTGTGCACTATACACGATCTCGGTCTTTCGTCTGTGTTCTTGTTTATTACTCTTCCTATCATGCCCATTCCTTTAATTCTGTCTCCTACGGTCCAAGGTTCTTGTATCAGTGCTACATCTATTTTGTACTTGTACATTATGTTGGCTAGTGCGCCAGTTGCTGCCCTTGACCTGTGCAGGTTTATCTGTGCTACTTTTATTTTTCCCGCCATTTTATCTGTTTGTTTCTTTTTGTCTGGTTCGTTGGTTCGATCTTTGTTACCCTTTCTTTCTCTTTTGCTTCCTCCGTGTGTTCTTGTCCTTGGTTCTTTCTCCTCTGTATGGTTTCGTGGTTGTTCAGGTTTTTCGCGGGACGCGCTTTCGTTTTGCGCTCTTGTTCGTTGTTGTTTTCGCCGCTAGGGGTCGCCTTTTCGTTTGCTTTTTGGCGCGTATTCTTGAGCGCCTGTCGGTTCTGGGGAGTTTTTGATTCAATGTTCGTCTTCGTCGTCTCTGTCTTTCTTTTCTCTGATTATACTCGTCGCTGTCGCTAGGGATCGTTTTTGTCGCCTATTTCTCTACTGTATCTTTCGTTCTCTTTCGTTGGTATTGGGGTCCTTGACTTTTCGTGTTTTCCGTTTTTACCTTTGGCGTTTCCTCTTTGCGTCGGTTGGTCTTTTCGTTTTTCTTTTTCTGGCGTCGGTATGTTCGCCTGTTTTACCGGTCGTGGTTATGTTTATGTTTTGTCTATTTATTCGTCTTTCGTCGCGCGTTTGTAATTTATTGAACGGTCTCGCGTCGTATTCGTCGTTTGTCTGTATTCTTTCTTTTCGGTTGTCTCGTTCACTTAGGGTCGGTTTTTGGTTGGAAGTGCTTATTGATGTAGGATTTTGGTGAGGTTTTTGTATTTTGTTTTTGTCTTTTTATTTATTTGTTTGTTTGTATGTTTGTTTGATTTCTTTATTTTTGTTACAGTTTTTGATTTTTATTCGTTGATTGTGGTTCTTTCCGTTGTCTCTGGTTCCCGTTTTCTCGTTGGTCGACAAGGTTGCTTTCCTTTTCTCGGTGGTTGCTTTGTTTGTATTGGTTTTCCTAAGAGAAGTTTGTCTTTGTTTCTTTGGTTTCTTACCTCTCTGTTTTACCAACGTTTGCTTTTTCTTAGTGTTTCCTGTGTTCTCGTTTGTCTGTTCTTTATCCTGGTTTGTTTCAGGCCTCGTGCAGTTTGTATTTCATACCTTCTAATTTCCTCTTTATCGGCTGTTTTGCGTTTTCCCGGTGGTCGGTTTCCTGTGTGGCAGTTGTTCTGGCGGTCTATAAGGAATCTGTTTTGGTTTTTAGATTTTTACCTTTTTGTTGTCGACGTTTTTTCCTTGGGCGTTGCTCTTTTTGCCAGGTCTCTGTTGTTTTCGCCTTGTTCTATACTACTTGTTTATCGTCGGTCGTTCTTCTCTGTCTGTTTGGTTCCCTTCTTTGTGTATCTTTGTCCTTGTTCGTCTGTGTGTTGCCCAGGGTTGTCTCGAGTTTCGTGCGGCGCTGTGGTTTGTGTTTCCCAAGTTTCCTCTTTGTCGACCGTTTTCCTAGTCTGTTTTACCTGCCGTTTGGTTTTTCCGTGTCGGTCGGTTTGGTTGTCTGCAAGAAATCTTGTTACGATATTTGGGTTTTTACCTTTATCGACTGTTGTAGATTCCTTTGGTTTGAGTCTCTCCCCTATGGTTCCTTTCCGTCTTTGTTTGTCTGCGCGCTGTCTCGTTTCGTCTTGGGCCTTTCGTTGCGTTGCTGTCGGTAATCTTTGCGTTTCCTCTTTTGCCGGTTGATCGCTTCGCAAAGTTCAGAGGTTCGTTTCGTTTGCTCGTTTCCTGGACGATGTTTCCGCTAGTCTCAGAAGTCTAGTCTGCCTTTTTTGAATCGAGTGGCAGTCTCGTGAAGCCTAAAGGCCCGGTCTACCTTTTTTATCGAGTGGTAGTCTCGTGAAGCCTAAGGGCCCGGTCTACCTTTTTTCGCGAGTGGTAGTCTCGCAATCGGCATATAGCACTGTCTTGGCTC